TAGTTCAGTAGTGCTATTAGTTAGTCGGTTTTATTATTATTATAGCCAGTAACGAGAGCACGCAATAGGTATAAAAATATAGGTCAAAAGTTCAAATGCTATTTCAACTCGAATTTGAAATATTTCATTTCATAAACCTTTGGACGGTCATTAATAAAACATGGATTCGACGCATTTCTATGAAAATTCACTGTGCATGCAATAAATGTTAGAAGCATGTTGAAATATTTCAATGACAGAATGAATTTTTATTTAAAACCAATTTTGAATCGTGCATGGAAATCCGCAGTCGAGCGATTGAATTACGTAAACCTGTCGGAGTATCCGGTTTCCCTAATGGACCGGAAGATTTTTGTACATCCTGTAAATCATCGCGTCCGCCGTTTTGTCGTTGAGAGCCTTGGTGGCCAGGTCGTCAGCCAGCATGGCAGCCACCGCCTCTGCTGCCATCAAACCTGTCGACAAAAGTCGGAGGAATCTATTATCAACCGAGTTAATGCGCTGCGCAACGTGGAGCCCAGTCAATATGCGAGTCAAATGTCGAAGCTGATTAATACGCTGAACACGCTGGATGACTGCTAAGGCCTGATGGCCATTTGTGCGACTGTTCAAAACGTTTAAAAGGGTGATTTTTATCATTTGCACTGAAGAACCTAGCGAACCGATACGATCAAGGAAGTACAAGGGCGAGGGTGGAAAAAAAACTCAGGAGTCTAGAGTCTCATATTTCACAATGGTATTTGGGATTGCAATTTCAAGCACCTCTCGTATATATTTCAAAACAGGTGGCACTTAAGACATGAATAGAATCGCCGTTCACACTTTCGAGATAAGTGGAACCATCTCCATTGAAGATCATAAAAATTGATCCTCTCTAAGTGCCTCGAGTCCCACAGACGTTGCATGGATAGACACTCGGCTTAACAGGCTACACACACGCGCCGTGAAAATGGGTACACTTTTACTTGGCTCGATCGATCGGCAACTTTTACTTCCCTCTGTTGTTTCCTATGAACGACCGACCATTTCCTCAGACACAAAATGGAATTGTCTACTGCGACTGTATAGGAATAATAAGATTCCTCTCGTTACGATTTTATTAACAGCTTATGAATTTTTATGATGTCGTTTATTGATCGCCAGTTTAATGATTTATAAACGAACTGCAGTAAATATTGGGTTGGTAACTAAATCCCATAAATGAATTGCAATGATTAAATAATAAAAGTAATTTCAATCCGAAAAGCATTCTTTTAATTGATTGCTTATTTTGCATAAAGATTCGCAGGCTATTAATGACTGGTGAATCATAATTTCGAGTACTGATCTAGAGAATGAATTAAGATCTGTAAATATGACACTAAATCTATGCAGTGTTCTTAAATTCCTTTATAAGAAATGAAAGAAGAATAAGTTAAATAATATAGATGTTTGTTATTATAGAATATTGTACAAAAAGTATTAATAAATTTAGTATTAATAATGATTTCTTCGATCTTATTTTTGCAGAATAATCTGAATTTAAATCGACCTTAAAGAAATCGTAAGTATTTCATTAATTAGGTGTTTTCATACTGTCATTCGGTCGAACGAAAGCGTTTCCTTTTGCGTGCCATCCATCTTTAACGTCGCATAATCGCATGCATGCCCGGCGCGTTCCGCCGTTTAAGCACGAAACGAACGCCCAAACGTCGCGTCTAAACAAAACTTTCTTCGTTTTTCTTTGTGGAATTCCTATTTTTCCTAAGCGGGTTTCCCCGGCGACTGATAATTACGGAAGAACACCGGCTCCGTGACGCAACCGTCGAGCTTTTACATAATGCGTGAACCGGCTACAGCATTGTCGTTCGTGACGCACGGATCGTGCGTTCAAATTACAGACTTCGATTGATTCGATAATAATCTGATTTTATTTCACTCGAGAAAATAAGTTCTGTACTTACCGTTTGTGAGAATCGATTTCACTGCTCCTTTTTCGTCCATTCCCTGAAGAGAAACGTCCTGCTTTTTGGCGCTCAACTTACTCCTGGCTGCACGGACGATTAGCATATCCTGATTCTTCACCTTCTTCAGTTCGACCGTGAAGTCGCCGATTAATTCCGCTGCGCATACACGTGAATTCATTATTTTTTACCAGCCAGACAGAAAACCAACAACGTCTCGCTGACGTATAAAATTCTAGTTTTTTTCTATTTCTGTTTTTATTCAAGATTTTCAAATATACAAATTATTCATTTTGGGTTCGGTGATTTACTCACTGAAATTGCCACTTAGCTTGCCGTTCCCTCTCACCAGTTCCTGACCAACTTTTCCAGTCAGTTGGTAATCAGATTTCACGCGGAGCAAGGGAACTTTTATTTTCATAATCACATGCATCACGTCGTCCTTGAAACAAGAGTTAAAAAGTTGAAATGAACAACTTCGATAAAAATTGATATATCACTTTTGATGCTTGAAGGAAATCGAGTTCGATGTGATTGTAATACCGGAAATAAAATACTGACATCGGTTTCGTTGTCTCTGTGAGCACGCTTATGTCTGGCTCCCTGGCCCAGTTTCTCTCTATTCCCACGATCCATTCCACCGTAGTGATAAAGCAGCTGCATGCCCTCTTCGAAATATCCTTGCTTCTCCTGATAATCCCTCGCGTATCGAGAAAGACCGTCCAGCTTTTTCGCTGCTATAGCCGCCTTCACTGCGTCGTTCCTTTTCGTCAACGACTCTCCGTCGGTGCAGTTGCGACTAATAATCCTCTTATTCCCAAGAATATCCTATTTACATACGATAAGCCTCATGCAAAAACTATACAGAGAATTTATTTCTAAAAATTCCGGAAACGAAACGCATTGAGTGCTTGCGAATTCATGAATGCATATAAAAGTATACAGAATATTATTTAAATTTATTTTGTATCAAAAAATCTATCGATTTTTTTATTTTGTTTTAATTTAATACCTCAGAATCCTTGGTTCCATACACTCTGGTACCGTCGCTGGAGTCGATTCTCCCATTTCCAAATCGTCTCATGCTACCATTATTACTTCCATCCGCGTAGACTATATCGATATATCCAGGCTGTTTTTCCAGTCGCATTGAACCACCACGGTAAGCTTGTTCCCTGCCAAGGTAACCAGGAACAAATCTCTGATCTGCCACTCTGCTCTCCACGTTCTCCGAGGCCGAAGCCTCGACCTGATCGTAACGTTGCTCCGGTCTGCTACCGAAATTCTGACTCTGTCTACTTTGTCCTCTGTATTGAGAATCATAGTTCTCTCCTCTCTGATTCTGTCTAATATTTTCTCTAGCTTGTTCGCTATAGGGACCAATGTAAGGCCTATCGTAATTCTCTGCCCTTTGACCCTGTCTACGAATTTCACTATAAGAGCCACTGGAAGATCTGTCGTAAGCTTCTCCTCTCTGACTCTGTCCTCTGTTTTCCTTGTTCTGATCACTATAGAGAGTTCTAGATCGGTCATAATTCTCATTTTGTTCATTCTTCGAATTCAATCCGGAATTGATCGCGCTCATTGCATAGATCATTTGAACATCGGCAGGGTACCTCAGGTTCTCGACGATTTGGCTGGTCTCAGACTTCGAAAGTACCCTCGCGCCTTCCATATTGAAAGATCCTAAGCCAGACTCTTGGTGAAGCTTACGACTGCTCTGATCAGCCGAAGATTGCTTCATTTTGTCTGCTTGAATCTTCATCAAGAAGGGGTCGTACTGTCTGAACCTCTCGAGTCGACCTTCTTCCTCCTTGGCCATGAATTTGCTGTTCTGATCGGTGGCAGAGACTATAGCCTCGAAGCTGTCCGTCTGCGATTTCGGTTCCTTGATCAACGTGTGGAATCTGTATCTAATGGCGTCCAAATCTCGTAAATCGCTGTAGCTCACGTAGCCAGCCTCGAGTTCGCTCAAGTTTGATTTCAACCTTCCACGGGCTATGTGGATGCTCTCCAAAGTGGACGCGTTTAATCCTGTGATCTCCACGTTGCGGAGAATTATTCTGTAGCTCGTGTTCCCTTCCGACTGGTCCACCTTTATCACCGGCACTCTAAGTGGATCGAGTTTACCTGTTTTCGAGAAGCCTCCTAATAACAGTTTCGTCCAAAGCTGTTGAGACATTTCCAAAAGAGATCCTTGGCCATTCACTGTCATGACAGTCAGTGATAGAAATACTATAGCAATGATTATTCTCGCCATTGTCCACTCAAATCTACTTCGATATAATTTATTATATACACGATTCAAGCTTCCTATGCTTCAATTTTAATTTGTAATCACTGTTCAGCTTTGATCTCCCAAATGTAGACTGGCTTGACTAACACCAGGACGAGGATAGCGATCACGGCGAAGATCAGTAGAAAGCAGAAGATGCCCGCACACATCAACGCTCGAACTCCCGGACCAATAATTCGTTCTTCCAGATTTTTTAATTAAGATCTCGAATAATCACAGTATTTATTTTCTGATCAGGGCTCGACCCACATGATTTTTCTTGATCTTGACGATCTTGCAATTCTTCAATAGTTGTGTTTCAAAGGGTTCTCTTGACGATCATTAGTAGCTAACTGTGTTTGGAACGTGGCACAAAAGTGACGATCGCGAGTGGATGATGCGTTACGGTTTTATACAGACCCGTGGAAGGGCACTGGATCTGGGCCACGGACCACTGATTCTTGTGGCGCTAACTAGGTGATCTCTCTGGACGTGTATAACAACGTTTTTTTCTTCTATCCTCTAAGCTGCAGACGGCGTTTTGCCCCCGTTAAAGCTGTTATAGGGGGCAAGGTCCTTCCCCGACCTTAAGTGGAAGAGGCTATTGCTGTCCGAGCCGGGTCGCAAATAGTGCACCACCTCGATGTTTCGCATTACGCAATCGCTTGTTCTTAAATGTACATCGCAGCGGGCACGTTTAATGGGGAGCGTGCTCGCGCCTCGTCGAGTGGAACGAGCCGCGTTTATGGGGATGTCTGATGCTTAGGGTGAAGGTCTCACATTTAACTGGCTACTTCTGTAAATGTTCTACTGAGGCCAGATAGACATTATGCTAAAGAAGTCGACCTTTTAAAATATGAATAGAATTCTTGCAATCGGTCGTTTATACATTTTTATTCCCTGGCGAACGTAATTTGCAGGTGAATTTTACTGTGAAATCTGTGGAACTTGATTGATGGCATGATTACGTGTATCCAACGTGTGTTCAGGCACTTGGTTGGAAATAGGAATTAGGTAAAAGTCGGAATTGCTAGTTAGCTGGTAGATAGATTGATTATTTTTTATTGCGCCTCGCCCGGAGGAATGACAAGCGCGATAAAATTGGCGCGAAGCAAATTTTTAATTGCGCAACCCGTAAAAGGCGGTGGGAACACATTAGAAATAGCTATGTCAGCGCATTGCGGATCGATGGCACGTTCCTCATTTTCGATGGCCAGCCACTAAGAAATTATTTTACCTTCGAGCCTCGTCCTGGCAACAACCATGCTGCTTCGCGGATCATTTTTAATACTTGCTACGAGCTGCCTGTCTGCCGTCTTACCT